TGGTGAAAGGGTCCTGTTGCCAACTCAATTTGCAAGCCGCTCGCCTGGGCCACTGGTGTTCTGCACGGTGGGGGCTACGACGGGTGAAGGCTCCTTGCTCCCTGATGGAAAACCGCAGGCCCGGCATCCAGGGCGCCATCAAGGCGGAGGGGTGGCTGATTTGCATAACCACTGGCACGGTGCCACATTTTGGGTGATTTGGGCACGGAGCCCTCACCCACAATTGTTGGGAAATAGCACAGCTAGTGTTTCCTCATCAGGAATTAGCCTGCTGATTTTTTTTTTTTTAAGTTTATTTTGAGAGAGAGTGCAAATGGGGGAGGGGGAGAGAGGCAGGAGAGGAAGAGGACCCCAAGCAGGCTCCACGCTGTCAGTGCACAGAGCCCAACGCGGGGCTCGAACTCACAAACCGTGAGATCGTGACCTGAGCCGAAGTCGGACGCTTCACCGACTGAGCCCCCCAGGCGCCCCTACCCTGCTGATTTCTAAGTGAGTTCAGCCTGGCCTATCTGCCCATTAAGCCACACATTAGATCCCACATTCCAGCGGCTTGGACGATTGACCGTGTGGCTTTGGAACTTTAAAGTACTTCTTGGAAGTGGCCTCAGGAGTCAGCTGCCCGTCCTGGGCAGGTTTGCTGGATTATCTCTTTGGGCCCAATGTAATCAAGGGATCCTTACAAGCGGAGGAGGGAGGCAGCAGTGAGCCCGAGGGACGTGTGACGATGGAAGAAGGCAGGAGGGCTGTGACGTCGCTGGCTTGGCAGCCGGAGGCAAGGCAACGAGCCCAGGAAAAGTGTCTCTGAAAGCTAATGAGTCCAGGGCACGGATGCTCGCCTGCCTCGCACATCCAGAAAGAAAACAGCCCTGCGGAGGCCGTGATTTGAATCCGGTGAGGCCATGTTGGACTTCCGACCTCCAGAACTTTGAGACGATCAGTTCCTGTGGTTTTAAACCACCAAGTCTGTAGTATTTTTTACAGCGGCAAGAGGAAACCGAGCAGTGCACGTGATCTGTAGTAACGTAATTGGGCATCCCACGGCTTTCCATCCAATGGAGGAAACCGGAAACGCTGTCTGGTGGGACTCTCGTCGCATGATTATGTCTTGAGGCCTTTGTTTCAAACCGCAGGGTGGGCTCACCACAGTTCGGTGTGTCTGTGGCCAGAACTCTGTCCGGAGGCTACAAGACGCGAATGGCCTCACCTATGGTTCCAGGGCCCTGATCTCGTGACGCGCTGAGACAAGGCGGGCTGGTTAAGGAGCAGGAAGGAAGGAATGCGTTACACATGAATAAGGACATCCCTCGCTCTCGGATAGGATGACTCAGCATCCTAGACGACTGTCTTCCCTAAGGCCTTCCAGGTTAGGCATGGAGCCATTTACCTAATGCAACATTAATAAAAAAATGCCAACCACGTTTTGCCTGGAACTAGGCACGCTGACGTAGAGTCCGATGGGAAGATAGTATTTAACAAAACTGGGAAAACCGTGACAGCAGAGGGCTATGTGAACAATAATATGATACCTACCGGAGGGCGTAACAAAATCTGGGCCTCGACGGGTAAAGAGTGTGGCACTGGTGGGCGAAGAGATAAACAGCCGAGCAGAGGAGAAGCCACACCTCCAGACGAAGAGAGAGCCAGAGTCAGCAACCAGGGTGGCAGGTACTCTGCTGTACGTAGACCTACTGTGTGTCCTGCTGCTGGCTGGTTTTAAGCTCCCAGAGTCTAGGGCCCCCTGGCTGGCTCTTACATTTTACAGCCTTGTACATTCTCTGTAAATCGCATGAGCACGTGTGCACGTGCACACACACGCAGACATGCACACACACACACACACACACACACACACAGGGTCATCTCCAAACTTTGCTGTCTACCATATTAAAAAAAATTTGTTTTAATGTTTATTTTTGAGAGAGACAGAGAGACAGAGCACGAGCAGGGGAGGGAAAGGGGGCGGGGGTGGGGGGAGACACAGAATCCGAAGCAGGCTCCAGGCTCCGAGCTGTCAGCACAGAGCCCGACGTGGGGCTCGAACTCACGAACTATGAGATCATGACCTGAGCCGAAGTCGGACGCTTAACCGACTGAGTCACCCAGGCGCCCCTCGACCATATTTTGGGGGACGCTAAGAACCATTGCCCCACTCACCCACCGGTCTCATTTAAAACCACAATTAAATGGACAGAAGAGCCGGGCAGTCAGTTTTGTTCTCAAATGTGGCTCTGAGCTCACCGCCAGGCCCTTGTCTCCAGCCACACTTGCGAAACCTCACGTGGTCTTTCCCGAGATCCTTCCCCTCTTGACCTTAACATTAGATTGATTAGATTGATTAACATTAGATTACATTAGATTGATTCTCAAACCTAGAGGGGGGGGGCAATTAAGTCCATGAGACAAAACTTACATTGTCTCAAAGATTCTAACACACTGTATTTGGAGACATCAGTGTAAGTAATGAAGAATGTATTTATTAGTGGCATGGTTTCTTGCTGATGCTAGAGTCACAACGGGCGTAGTTGTGAATGCCGACTGCGGTCCATCGTGATCCCTGTGACCTGCTGGGGAACGGCTCAGTGCCCAGGGGACCCCACCTGCCTTGAGGAGCAGGAAGGTGAGAGGTGGCCTCTGTACCCACTCTCTCCAGCCCACCTTCTCCAATCTGGGCCCGGACCTCTGTCCCCCTTAAGGTGCCTGGTCAGGGCAGAGGAGACAGGCAGGCTGTCCGATGCCAAACTGGAGGTTTGGTTCGATAACCCTAACCCAAATCCTATCCTGTGTTAGTGTGTTTGGGCTGCCTTAGCAAAGGACCACGGGCTGGGCAGTTTAAACAAATGCATTCATTTTCTCACAGTTTTGGAGGCTGGGAGTCGGAGATCACGGTGTGGGTAGGTTGGTCCCTCCTGAGGCCTCTGTCCCTGGCGCGTGGATGCCATCTCCTCCCCGTGTCCTCATGGGGTCGTCCCCCTGTGTGTGTGTCCTGACGTCCCCTTCTTATAGGGACACCAGTCACACTGGACCAGGGCCACCCCCCTGACCTCACTTCACCTTAATCACCTCCACGTACAGCCACATCCTGAGGGCCGGGGGGTTAGGGCTTCACCTATGAACTCTGGGGGGACACGGCCCAGCCCACGACACTCCCAAGTTCAGCTCCAGCAGACCCGACTGGAGAGAAGTTGGAGGGCAGAGCCTGGAGACACTGTCACATCAAATGCCACCACCCTCAGAGTTTGCCCAGCTGTGTCAGGAGCCAGGACCCTCATCGTTTCTGTTAACAGAAACACCAGGATGTCCAGAGACGACATCTCTGGGCACATGGTACGAATAAGTGTGAGCTGCTCTGAATGCAAAGGGGGAGACAAAACAGAGAGCTGTTGTGCGGCTGGGTGATCCCGTGGCAGCCAGACATGGGCTACCCACGATGGACGTGGTCCTCCAGGGCCGTGGCACCCTCGGCAGAGAGGGCTCCTCGCATCACTCAGGGGCTGCTCGGGAAGGCGAGCACACCAGCCCCGCTGACAGACAGAAGCACGGACGAGCACGGCCAGCCAGCCCTGGACCGCTGACCGCGGGCCGTGGAGGGGTCACAGGTGACGAAATGCACCCTAGACACCCTGGTTCAATCACCATTTGCATTTTCCAGCATTTCCTACCTAGTCACGGACAACTTTTGGAATTGAAACAGAAGCAGAATAACTCATGAGGTGCCACTTCTTCCACGGTGGGGACAGTGTCTCTCACTCTGGCGCATGCAGAGCGTGTCGCACGACGTATAACGTGCCGTCTGGGAGGCGTTAAGTACGTATCGAATGACAACAGCCACGGGACCTGTTCATCTGACAGAAATATGAACAGCCTCAGTAGGAGACTGAAATGAAAATAATGTGTTTCTCCAACGAGGGATACGGAATCCTGGGGGAGTCAAGGAGTTTTTGAAGGCACCAGACAAATGTAGCAGATCTTCCTAAAAGTGTCAAGGAAAGGAACCCTTGTTTTTTTAAAACAGAAAGACAAACATTGAAAAAATGGATTGCAATGACATTCGCGGGCTCTTTCATATAGAATTGACTGAAAAGTTTACCCGTGGTTCTTTTATTTATTTATTTAATGTTTATTTGAGCGAGCGAGAGAGAGAGAGAGAGAGAGAGACTGAGCACGAGTGGGGGAGGGGCAGAGAGAGAGGGAGACACGGAATCTGAAGCAGGTTCCAGGCTGTGAACGGTCAGTGCAGAGCCCGACGCGGGGCTCGAACTCATGAACTGTGAGATCATGACCTGAGCCGAAGTCGGACGCTCAACTGACTGAGCCACCCAGGCTCCCCTTCCCTTGGTTGTGATGTCCCATCTCTGGGCTCCCCTTGTCTGAGTGTAGCCTTCTCTGCTACGAGGTATTGATGAAATTTTAGAAGCTCGTCCTTTATTATGACACTAGAATCTAATAGCATTTGGTGGTCTCTCTGGTTCCAAGTAATAGTGGGGAAGGTAACTGAAGTGAACAATCCGTATTGTAAAATATCTGTGGGTTGGGTGCCTGGGTGGCTCGGTCACTTAAGCATCTGACTCTTGGTTTCAGTTCAGGTCAAGAGCTCACAGTTCATGGGTTTGAGCCCCACACCAGGCTCTGTGCTGACAGCATGGAACCTGCCTGGGATTCTCTCTCTCTCTCTCTCTCTCTCTCTCTCTGCTCCTTCCTCTCCCTCTGTCTCTCTCTCTCTCTCTCTCAAAAAAAAAAAAAACTAAAAAGAAACGAAAATATTTGTAGGTTTGGCATTTCAAGATATAAAAACAGAAGGCAGAGAAACCTAAGAATGTTCCCAAGCAAATTCTTCCATGAACTTGCTTCAATGCATAGATAAGAGGTCTGCACTTAGCATCATCAGCCATGACCCACAGAAGCTGTGTAACATTTCCTCGTCTGCTCACGTTCTTTGAGTAAAGAATCTTGGCAGTAAACGCAAGACTAAACTTCCAGCCAAGACTGCAAATTCACACAGATTTCCTATTCTTGATATAATTTATTATATACAAAAGAATACATATATATTTATGATAATAATCAAAGATTATTATGAGATATAGTTTTTGAATTCATGCATTGAAAGAACCAGGGACATAGTGGACCACAGGCACTTTTATTGCCCAAGATCTTTTTAAAGTTTTGTAGAATGGTCTAGGTTTTATATGATCATATAAACACCACACCATCACTTAAATGCCTTGACTCACTTACATAGAGGTGTCAACCTGCAGAGGACCGAGGCCACATTTTACCATATTTCTGCTTTTCTCATTAGTTACTAGTAGTGTTGGCCTCAAAATGGGCATTCACACATCAGTAAAAAATAGCAAATTAACCAACTGTCCCTTTAAAGTGTACGTGTTCGGTAAATATACCTTCACAGTCCTTGGTTATGAGACTAAAAGAAGCCGCCAGCTTCATGACACCTGTTTTCCTCTAACCTCATGACCCAAAGGATAAAGATCTTTGTCCTGCAACATTTGAATAAATTCTATACAAAGAAACTCCATAGAAAATAAGCAAGTTTGACAGAGTCTACAATACTAGTCTATTTTTCTATGGTTTGTGCACAGTTGCCTCAGAATGGTGGGAGATATTTGGTTTGACTTTTAGCTCCTGTTCCAAGTTGACGGGTTGGATTTTAGAATAAACTGGCCTTTGGAACATTCACCTCTTCCAGAGTTCTGTGTGTGTGTGTGTGTGTGTGTGCACGTGCACACACACACACATGTGGTTGCCACAAACAAAGCCTTAAAGCCAGTATTCACTGGTCTTACAGCTGTGGCCATGTGCTGTAATAGGTTCAGAGACCATATTTTATGGCCAAACACTGGGACATACACAGTAAGTACTAGGGTATATTTACCAGGACCACAGAATGGAACGTTCGAAATAAGGACTATTCCACAAAACTTGGAATTATGGTTTCCTACCCCTCGGATATCGCAGTATGACTTCTAATTCATCATCATCCACCCATTCTCAATCTGTACATGTTGCTTTATTTCCTCCCTCTCATCTGCTATGTCTGACTTCTCTGGGGCAAGGACGATGACCATGCTGGAGTGGATTTGGGGGAGGAAAGGGCACTTTGCGGGCAAAGTCCGTGGCTGGTATGTGCAGGGGGAGCAAGAACAGGTAAGTTAGATTAATAAGGTCACCAAAACTGTCTGGGAAGACCCACATTCCTGCCTTGGAGCGTGGAAGGGAGGGCTAGTTCTGAAGACGACCCCGGAGAACTCCGAGGACTTGCCTCTTCCGTGTGGTGCTGGGTATTTATGGGGAAGTAGGTAGAATTGGAAATTTGATTGAGTTACAGGACAGCTCCTTCCTATCCCCAGGCCTTGTGCTCAGTGTTGCTTAGAAAAGAAGTTCTTGAAGGCGCTGTTGTAGTTTTTGTTGAAAGCTGTATAGATCAGGGGGTTAAAGAAGGAGTTGGAGTAGCCAAGCCAAAGGAAGATGCTCTTCCAGATGGTGGGGATGTCGCAGGAACACAGGGGGCTGATGAGCTCCGTGGTGAAGAAAGGGATCCAGCAGAGCGCAAACACCCCAATGAGGATGCCCACCATCAGGGCGGCCTTCCGCTCTTCCTGCTCCCTCCACGTGTCCCCTTCTGTCTGGAAGGTGACGGTGGTGTGGCGGACTGTGAACACCATCTGAGGCTGCTGAGCAGAGGTCTTCGCCTGGAAGAGATAAGCAGAAGCTTCATGAAGAGCCACCTTCTTGTGCCTTCCAGACGCTGGGTCCCGCACACCCACTTGAAGAGAAAGCCCTTGACCATTGCGTGCGGGAGACTGGCTGCCTGGGGAGCCCACCCTCAGCCGTGGAAACGTGGTGACAGAGCTGGCATTTGCTTACGTCTTAGAAGTGGAAGGAAAATGGGAACACCCATAATAAATATGATGAAGATGAATTTCCCACTGCTGCGTGTTCAACAACAAACAACTGAAAAAATAAGCCAGTCACATAGTCAGTGCGTGTAATTCGGGGACAAAGGCACATGAGTAATCTAAAGTGCTCCGAATCCTTGTCAAACCCTGGGACAATTAAAGTCTGACTTTCTAAAATCCTCACAACTTTCTGAAATCTTCGTAACTTTCTGTGCTCATGTGAATCCTCCCTCAAGGAATTTTCTAGAACTTTTCTCCTGGTGTCAGTTTCCCAGGACCGTTTGGGACAGTTCGCTCACCGGGACACTTACCTCCCTCGGGGCCTCATGGAAAGCAGACTTTCATTCCCTAGCGGGTGAGACTACGTGGACGTTCGATATCATTCTTCCCAGCCCAACCCAGCGGATTCAGCATTCTGTGATCCCAGTGCATTTGAAAAGGATGCTCACACAGCTCTCTCTCAACAGCACACAAACTTTTAGGCGAAGGACCAGGTCAGAGGGTCATTCTTGTTAACCTAACCCCCTTGACCAGTTCATGGCTACATCTACAGATTGGGAGTCCAAAGGAATCGATTTATCTGTTCATGGAGCATAACGGGGGTATAAATAAGGACACTATGGTTAAGGTAAGATTAGCTGCTATATGAATTCTTAAATTTGCATGATAGCCTTCTTGTTATTTGCTTGAAGAATAGTGAAACACCAAGTATTGTGCAATCAAAAAGAAAATCATAAATATTGGAACAAATAGTCCACAACACCGCAACCTGGAAAAACGGACATAGAGTGAGAAGTGAAAACCTCTTTCTAGACCCCAGTCTCACCCCAAGATGCACCAGTGACCTTTCATATATTATTAGTGCACATCCGGTAGTGCGTTGCAGGGAATTCATTTATGGAAATGCGACACAATATTTAACTTTATTTTTCCGCACAAATGGGAAAACCTACCAATTTCTTAATAAAACTCAAACCCAAAACGGCATCAGGGAAGCGATTTTTACCCCTTTTCCAAGGGTGGCAACTTGAAGCAACATTCTGGTCCTGGCTTTAAAACCCCTAAAAATTCTCCTCCCTCTCAGCACTTTTTCAGGGGTAGCACTGGCCACTCAGGGTTGTGACTCCCCTGTGACCACCCCTTAATTCTCTATAGCACAACTGATATAAAAGTAGAACACTTAAACTAGACTTTGTCAAAGGCTCTGGTCTAACAGTAGAAACAAATACAGCAACACACAGCCAGATATTCTGGCTTTGGAGATATGGCACTCTTTTGGGAAACAGCCAACCCCTCCCATCCCGACTCCCTGTCTGCCTTCCCTGTGGTCATTAGCCTTTTCAGACTGACTCCAGAAGCCCCTGCGTAGTCCTTTATGTACTCAAATTCCAGTTGCAAGACACGACGAGCCCCACAACGAAACTACCAATGGAAGACCAGCCTTCTGTAAGGACGAGATATATCCCCGTGTTGGCACATTATGTTTGTAGGAGTTTCCTGTTGCATAATGGGAACAAGTTGCAAGGTCTCCAGGCACATGACCTACATTTAAGTGTAGGATTTGAATATTTCTATGGAAATTAGTCTTGGGAAAGGGAGCTGACGTTTTATAGGACACTTTTATGGAAGCTCATCACTTTAGTCGTGGTCCCTGTACAGGAACGTGAAGTGCCCTACGTGCAGGCCTGCTTGTATGGGCATTTGGCAGTCATCCTATAAAACCTGGTGTTCTTCCAGTTTACCTGGGTTCCTACAGGTTATGAGCTGTTCCCAGATAAAACGGACATTCTCTGGGTCTGCAAGAATCGTCCGCTGTGTAATGGTTCTAATGTTGAATGAAGGGCATTCTTAAAGATATCCCAGGGAGTTTATTCCTAAGTTTGTCTTCAGGAGGACTTTCCTCGTGTCAATAGGGGGGCTCAGCTAAACCCTCGCAGGGGTTACATGCATGTTCCTTCCTCACGGAGTTGTTAGTACAGCAGTGGGGAGCCCACGTCCATAGCCCCTTCCAACAAAGACTCAAGATTCCTGTTTTAACCATTCTTTTTTATGTCCCATGGGAACCCCTTATGGTTCTGCTTTAGATTCAGATTAAATATTTTCTCTGAATACTATCTTTTTCTGGTTTTCTGTGAGTCAGGAGTTATTTATAGGTTAGTCCTAGAACCCCACGTGACTCAGAAAAGCACATTTTCTAGGACCTCGATATGAAATGTTGACTGTTTAACTGGGCCCCTCTTCATGCATCCTTCAACACCAACTCACCTGACAGAAGAAAGAGGGCCACGGATTTAAAATGGTTCTTCTGGGACAGCAGAGGCTCCGCTGGAAGAAGGATCTTTGTCATCTGGGAAGTTTCAGGTTTCTAGTGTCTCATGGCTTTTTGTTGCTCACCCTGTGGCTGTCTGACTCAGGGACTCCTTAGCTCTTTCCTTTCTGCTAATCAATGATTACAATAAAGTGCCTAATTGAGTCTTGAGAATAGAACTCTATTAATTACTCTATCAATTGCTCAACACGCAATTCACAGAAAAAGAAGTAGGAGGGTAAAAAATAAAGTGGACATCCAAGCCAAATTAGACTTTTCGTAATCATCTTTGTAATGCTGTATCGTTTGAAGCACACATCTCACAATTTAGGATACACATACAAAATTTTTCTAGGTGAACAATTAGCCTCATCTCTCCAAATAAATGCGTTCTTTGGGGGACGTGTACTTATGTGTCAGACTTCTCATTTTTCTGAAATCGTTATGTACTAAATAACGATTTACGGGTTAATCATAAACCTAGTAGGTTTCTTTCATTTCCTCTAACCACTCAGCTTCGTCTTCCTATTAATATCACACATAATTGATAGATTACCATCAATGGTAGGTACTGCAGTTCAAGGATGAAGACTGTTACCTTAGAGGTGGTTTTGGGTGGTTTGCAGGTTAGACCAGCCCACTGTCAGAATGGAAGATGGACCGATGAACCAGGATGCTCAAACTAGAAATGGTCTTACACGTTAAGGGAGGGCTCCACACAGGGGAGGGTGAAAACATCGCTTGAACTTCCCAACAAACTTAGGAAGACTGATTGTTCTGTGGCTATGGCAATAAGGAGTCTTGCTGTTTACATATCTTCCACTGACCAGGGACAATCCCCCTCTGTGAACACTCATTTGCAAACCACACAATCCATGTCTGGCCTCGAACGTCAGCCAATTAGGATAGGACTCACCCCCAATAAATGCTCCTCTGAGCACCAATCAATTGACAGCAGTCTCCCCGAGGAACCTCGTCTTAGGGGGATGTCAGTTCACTGCCCTGAACTCCACGCTGTCCCCAGTCCCCACAGGTGGTCAGCATTCTGCTCCATTCTGGATACGGTGCTTGACAAGTATAGTTTCTTCTCACTGTAGTAAGCAGTTTGGCATTTATTTCTGTTTCAGATACTGTGTGGTGGTCATATCATCCTTGGACAGTTCAACAGAGTCCACTGAGATCATTTTGAAGACCCTCCACAGGACGCTTGGACCACAGGTGCGTTCACTGGAGCCCAGACTCCAGGGGCACTCAGAACCTGTAGCCAGCTGTGGTGGTCTCAACAGCTCCAACCAGCTCCAATGGGCTCTTTTTGCTCTCTGAATTTTGTTATCCTAGGACTTGTAACCAAAAGTGTCTTTGGGTAAGGTCTTTAGACTTAGGTCTTTGTACCAGGTAACTAGACCTTTGATTGAGATGTATACTATTTGGTAATTGACTTAGATCTTTGTGCAAGCCAATTATATCTCTCATCCTAGAGGTGTACCATTTGGCAAATATGTTTATGCCATCGACGTACTTATTCTACTGCTATTTGCTTTGCTTTTGCTATTATTTGTCTATATGTGCAAAGTCTGGTTTCATAGGCTAGTTTCGTTTGCTTTTCCTAGAGAGCCTTTCTCTCAGTTGAATATAAAAATATAAAAAAAGATTGTTCTGTATGGCATTGGCTTGATAAGCTTCTAATCCATTCCAAGCCAGACCTGAGGGCTAATGTTCTGAGGACCATTTTGTGGAAAAGTAATTGATCAAACTTCGCTTTCGGTCCTTTACAAAATTTGAGGATATTCCCTGTCCTCTCAATTTGTGAAGGAATGTCACTTTGTTTAGTTGGTATTCCAGCTCAATGAGTGTTGGGTTGGTGCTTGTATGGCCCCTTGCTAGCATCTGGTCAGGGATCCTTGGGCACTATTCACAGGCACTGACTGTTGGCCAACCATAGAGTCTTTCTTGTGTGTCATGGTTGGTCTAAGCCAAGGACTCAACCTTCTCCTTTAGGAACTTTGACTTCCTATTTTAACTTGCACTATAATCTGAACTCCTGTGCTTTTCTCAACAAATGCCTTTTTAAAAAACCTTTCTTGATAAGGAACTTCTGACAAGTCAAAATCAGCAAATTCACCCAGATAAGAGCCCTAGAAAAATCAGGGGGAAAAAGACCAAACAGTCAACAGCTTCCTTCTTTAATTGGTATGCTAGGGCCTTAAACAAAATCTTAACTCTAAAATAGTCTCGAAGGTTTTGTAACATCCCCACACCCACCCGCCTTGCACATCTAGGTCTTGTATATTTCTACCTAGCTGCACCTGACCTCCTAAATGAACTGTCCTCTCTTCAGGGTTTTCTCAGAAAAAGCAAAGCCACATAGTAAATTTGCCAGATAAGGAGTCAAATCTATAGAATTTCCATTAAAACCCTGGCCTCAAGTTACGTTAAGGGTTATAATTTAGAATTTTCCTAAATTTCAGAGAGAAAATAAAAATAA